TAGCAGAGGAAGGTCAGTTCATCTCCACTCGGCTTGGATTTCTGTGGATGTGTTGGATCATTTCCGTGTTCTCCTTGAGAATTAACAGGAAAGGTTGATTTCTTAAAGTCCTAGAGAGTCCATGGTGGTCAAATATATTGAAAGCATCAGAAAATTAATCCTGGGTCTGCGCCGTCGGGACAACAATGTCCCACCTCAAGGGGTCATTACATTGGATGTTGGAGAGGCTGATTATGGGAAGGATCAGGACAAGAAAGAAATGTCATTCTACAATCCGCTGGACCCCGTGCCAAAATATGAATTTTATGCCAAAGACACGTGGGTAGGACATATTTAAAAAAAAAACAAAACAAAAAAAAAAAAAACTGACCATCATTGGATGTTCTGTGCAATCCAGTAAGTACATAAGGTCATTTGAATGGACATTATTAACACATAAGTTAGTCAAATTGAATATTGTACACAAAGATTATGGTTTATATGGAAATGCTTTTCAGTTTGATGTTGATTCTCTTTATATTCCTGCCAACAGCCAGACCCTGATGATCTTCCTCCACCACTAGAGGATGTCGGACAGCCCAAAGTCAAGCTTGTTCGCTTTGGATGGTTTTTGGGAGTCATGGTGAGAGTCATCAGTTATAAATCTTTAACATCTCCATTTGTTTCTCCTAAATGTTAAATGGTGAGCTAATGCTTAAGTGTCCTGCCTTTTGGAAAAAGACCCAATGTGTCTCTCTACAAAGAAGAAATCTCAACAACCAATTCGGCTAGAGGTCCTGTTTTCCTCTCTGTTATTCCGCTCTGGAATAGATTGCAGAATCTCATGGCTGATGCTGAACCACTGTGTCAGATGTAACCCACTTTTTTGACAAAGAGCCGCCAGATCTCTAGCCATGTGGATTGCTTCCTTCTCAAAAGGTAGGCTCTTCAGGCAATCATCCATATAGAAATTATTGTAGACAGCGTTTACCTCTAAATCAAATCTGCTGGTTGTCCTCTGCAGAGCAAAGCATGCACAGCTTGGTGACAAAACTGCTCCAAATAAACAAACAGTCATTCTTAGTTCAGTGACATCTTGAGTTACATCGTCATTGGGCCACCATATGAACCAAAGGAAGTCTTGATCCTCTTCCGTCTCTCTAACCTGATAAAACATTGCCTGAACATCAGTCATAAAGGCAACTGGCTCCTGACTAAACCTAAAAAGAACTCCAATCAAAGAGCTAGTGACGTCAGGACCCTGTAGTATCTGCTGTTCAAAGAAGTTCCCTTGAATTCTGCCCCACAGTCAAATTCAACCCGCAACCTACCTTTAGGGGGGTAGTAGACTCCATGATGAGGAATGTACCAAATCTTACCATCATGTCGCTCAAGTTGCTGCTTTGGCACCTCTTCAACATACCCTAGGTCAATCATATTATTGATGAAGTCAGTGTATCCCTGCTGGAATTTCTTATTCTTTTCCGATTTTCTGTTTAATTCAAGGAGGCGCTGCTTAGCAATGCAGCTATTGTTAGGCATAGTATCTTCCTTGCTCTTGAAAGACAGTTTCAAACTGTAATATCCATCCTTGGAGTTTACAGACTCTTTCATAATTTTCATGAACTTGGCATCTTCTCTGGACATTTCGTCCTTATCATCATAAGTATTTTCACTGAAATCATGTTGATATTGTTTCTCCAATAGCGATTCCAATCTTTTTACATCAATCCTGTTCACTGTAGTAGTATGGCACTCACTTTGACAACTGCCAATGGAACCATTTATAACCCACCCCAATAGGGTACGAATGGCATAAGGTCCATCTCCATGACTATTCACAACTTCCCAGGGCTCAAGTAACTTAGAGGCATTGGTACCAATCAATAACTCTACATCTGCTTGAATGTGTGTAATGTAAACAGCATCAAGAAATGGCCACTCAGCTAAGTCCTCCTTTTTGATAATGTTAGCTGGGCTCACAGGCATTTTCTTTTGTGTGTAGACTTCTGGTAGCCTATAAAACTCCTCTCCAGTCCAGTGAGGCCTGAAATCTCCTAATTATTTACAACATAGCTTGAGACAGTTGACTTGGGACTCATCGTAAGCAATAAGATTTTTGTCTTTCGTCCATTCAGATTCAAACTTCTCATCAAACTCTCTGAGCAAAATGTAAAAGTACTACCTGTATTCAAAAAAGCATAAGTCTGGATGACTTTGTTGCTCATTGTCGACTGGAAGTATAGGAAGGATGCCATTGTTATTCTTGGCCCCTGTATGATTACATGCCTGTGCTAACACAAGTGTGTTGTTTACTGTTGGTACAGTTGGTAGTATCATGATCTCCAGCTGGATTGCCCATGAACTCCACCAGAAGGCACTCCACCCCTGACTCTTGCCACTCTCACAGACTACATTTCCTATAATCCTTTGCCGGACTCATCACCACTGATTGCATTCACCTGTGTCTTTTTACCTCATCAGTCTCACCCTATTTAAAGCTTGTTTTTTCATTCATTCAGTGCTCAGTATTGTCTAGCCTGTAGTGTTCCCTAGTTCCTGTGATTTCCTTGTTCCCTTGCCTTGTTTTTGACCCTGGACTCTTATCTGGATTATGATTGTTTGCTGCCTGTCCTGACCTTTGCCTGTTTTATTGGGTTATTATTTTGTTTACCCTTGATTATACCTATTTGATGCTGTTTGACCCTGCCTGATTTGACGACTCTTTGAATAAAGCGGGCATTTGGATCATCAACTTTGTTGTCACGCCTCCTCACGTTACAGGTAGCATCTGGTGATCACGGCCCTTTGAAGTGTATGTGCATAACACTGGGATGCTTGTTATGTCTTGCACACTCCTTGCTTCGATGTCCAACGTGTAGGCAACCAAAGCAGACCGCTTTCTCCTTTAGAAAGTTAACCTTGTCCCGGTGCTTTGTTTTCTCAAACCGTTTACATTGTTCTAAAGAATGATTTTGTGAACAAAACAGACAAGTGACAGGGTTACTGGGATTACCTTTAAATTGGCGAGCTGGATGTTCAGAACTTACCATCACTTCTTTGACTGTGGGTCTGTCACCATCTATAATGTTAGTAGCAAAGCTGTTTCCTTTAAGCTTGGGCTTTGATAAAGATTGTGGTTTCCATTCTCCCACATCCTTCTGCTTATGGGTTTCTATGGAATATGCTATGGGATATTCCCTTCTCTACATTCTGGATGCATCCAAAGACTGGATCGGAGATGATTTTAACTTGGTGTTCAATGAATGAGACGACATTATCAATTTTCTCTGATTATGTCGTTCCATAAGATCACATTGTAGGGTTGAAAATGATCAAATACTTCTGCTTTCTTGTCCCAAACATATCTTCAGTAGTAAAAGGGCCATTTGTAATTCCCGAAACCATTTCAATTATAAATTGTGGCAACTAGTCTTGATTCAACATTAACATTAAAGTGCTACCTATTGCAATACAATATAGTCATGTAATAGCAACGCTCTAACACATATTTGGCTATTCTAACTGCACTTATTTCCATCGTTGGTATAAGTGGCAGTGGATGTTAATAGACAAATGTACAGTATTATACAATCATGCTGATCATGTTTCTTTAGTCCTTCAGCAATCATACAGCCTGAACAACTGTAGGGAAACCACCCGTACAGCTTGCTGCAGTTTTCCACTTTTCCCTTAGCTTGAATGGAAGTTTTAGAACTACTGTTCACTTGTTGGCTGGCATATCCAGCTCGTATTGTAAGTCCGACAATGCATCACAGCAACCTCTGCATAGTCTTGAAGAGCCGTCACGTTTTCTCCCTTATCCCCTATCAGGTGTCATGTTCACGCAGCTGCAAACAATTTCTTTTGGAAGTCATTTAGTATACCTCTCTAGAACATATAAGCAGTCTCCTTTGTTTTTTGTCTTGTCTTCCACACAAAACTGAAAATCTTTCATAAATGAACTGAATTGCAAATATTGGAATTCCACGTGGTGGCAGGTGGCTAGTCTTTTGCGGTTGTATTTGCTGTTGCATTTGGAACACTATTAATGTTGAAACTATTTGCTCCCAAGCATTTGAAGAAACTCCTCTGTCGGGTACTCTGAGACATGTACTGCATGTTGTGGTTTCTCCTCGCACTGACATACCAGTTTGAGAATCTTGCTGCTGGACACTGGGAGGTTGGTGGCAAAGGTAAGCCTTTATAACTATGTGATGTTTATTCAAACCACAATCGAGAAATAAAGCCATTGATTTAGATTTTCCTCCTCTGATAAGATTCCATCCCATCTGATATCACACTCTCAGTGGTTTGTTGCTCAAACGTTTTGAGGACACAACATTTGGCAGTGGAGGCTGCGATTCCAGAATCAAGATATATTTGATCCTTTCGTTTCCTCAATTTTTCAACTTGATCATCAAGCTCATACCTATCTTTTGAAGATTTCACACATGCAACAACAGCAGTTTAGAAAGACATGAGCAATGCTTATTCATTTTGCAATGAATATCTGTAGCCTACTTTATTTTGTTTTGTATTTTATCATTTTATTTAAACACAGAAAATGACAAATGCAAGACAATGTAAAAAAAAAAAAAAAAAATCCAGTAGAAATGTAAATGATAATATTAGGCTCCACATGTTTTAGTTAGATTTATGTTTTGGTGTTTGGAAATGGATGCAAACAAAGAAGCCCTGTAAGAGCAAAATAGTTTCTCAATCTTTTCCCCAAAACTGCAAACAGAAACATCTTCTCCTTCATCTTGCTTTTTTTTTTTTTTACCTCCAAACCCTCCACTCAACACAAAGTCTTGCTCAATACTCACACTATATTCATTCACCTTAAATGCATTTCTTTCTCTTTGACTGGAGCCACAAACTGAGGGATTTTAAAGGCTCTCAGTAACCAGTCTCACCTGTCTTCACTAATTAACTCAACCCTCATCAATCAGCTCATTAGTGGGTTTTGTATACTACACAACAAGGTTTTGCTAAATGAATACCACAAATTATGAATTAAAAAATAACAAACATTGTTTTGGCCAGTATGAACAAAACTCTTGTCCTGAGAATACAGTTCAACCCTGGTGTTAATGTACTGTATGTCTTCATGGCAAACTGTTCAAATTGTTTTCTAGAGTTTATTGCTTCTCAGATGCAAGCAATAATCTCACATGTGCTTCCTCTTTCAGTAGAGATGTCAACAATGTCTCAGATTTGCCAAGATACCAAAGTCTGTCATCAAAGGTCAGAGATGTCAATATGAACTGAACTTCTATCAAAAATCTAATTTGTGTATTTTTCTTTCCTGCATGCTTTGAGGTGTGTGAGCAGGTTTGAGATTCATGAAAAACACTCAGACCAGTAAACTCAGCATCTGTCAGCTTAGCATGATCTGTAATTATTTCGTTTATGATGGTGACTTTGGGTGAAGGAGATCTGATCTTCTGATGTTTTTTCATGCTTGCAATGTTGACTAGTTTTATATTAATCTTTTTTTTTCTACATGACTGAGTAAGAGTTTTGCTTTTGGCAGACAAAGTCTCTGTTTGACAGATTTATGTGAAGCCAGTTTAATATTTCCAAACAAGATTTCAAAGATAGCATGAGAGCACAATACAAATAACCTTCAGACATGGCTCTGCAACAATGTCTGTGTATGTATAATAATGTATTTGTGGGTGTATGTGAGTAGGCTCAGTTAAGGTATAAAAGAAAATGCAACTAATTTTCTGACAGCAGAGGAAGGTCAGGTCGTGTCCACATGGCTCGCTGGAGCACACTGTGATAGCCCGATGTGATTTCTCTGGATCTGAGGGATCATTTTGTGATCTTCACAAGGATTAAAGCAGGAAGGGAAGGAAATTCACAGGCTAAAGTTCCACCGAATCCACCATGGCCAGATATATTGCTCGTATCAGAAAATGCATCCCAGGAGTTCGGCATCCAGACAGCAACATCCCGTCTCAAGGTGTTACCGTGGATATGGGGGCGGTTGATTACGGGAAAGAGAAGGACAAGGGACAAATGTCATTCTATAATCCGATGGACCCCGTGCCAAAATATGAATTTTATGCCAAAGACACTTGGTCGGGACGTATAAAAAGCACCAGACCGTCACTGGATGCTCTGCGCAAACCAGTAAGTAAAACTCCATAAGTGGTCATCTCTATAAATGTACTAATTAAGTTCATAAGCACATACAAGTGAGTCTAATTGAATACTGCACACAAAGAGTATTGTTTATATGGCACCACTTTTGATTTTGATGTTGATTCTCTGTATATTCCTTTCAACAGCCAGACCCTGATGATCTTCCTCCACCACCAGAGGACGACGGACAGCCCAAAGTCAAGCTTGTTCGCTTTGGATGGGTTCTGGGAGTCATGGTGAGAAAGGAGCAATGATACATTATTATTTAGCATTATCCATATGCAATTTACTTGAGAATACTTCAAAATAAAAAGTGTATAAATGCAGTCAGATGTATACAGTTGATGGATTCTTTAATCAAAATCTTAGTTTTGTGTTTTCATTTCAGATCCGCTGTATGTTGAACATCTGGGGAGTCATTATGTACCTGCGGCTGCCGTGGATCACGTCTCAAGCTGGAATCAGTGAGTCAGTCTTCCATCTGGCTTATTTAATTCAGTTCATATCCTAAATTCAGTTAAAGTCACTTGTACATTCTCAAACGACTTTTAAACAGTCAATTTAGTCCTTCCTCAAGGAATTATTTTTAGGCCATATCTACAGACATTTTACATATGTGACCCTGGACCACAAAACCAGTCATAAGGGTCAATAGCAGTTTAGAAAGACATGAGCAATGCTTATTCATTTTGCAATGAATATCTGTAGCCTACTTTATTTTGTTTTGTATTTTATCATTTTATTTAAACACAGAAAATGACAAATGCAAGACAATGTAAAAAAAAAAAAAAAAAATCCAGTAGAAATGTAAATGATAATATTAGGCTCCACATGTTTTAGTTAGATTTATGTTTTGGTGTTTGGAAATGGATGCAAACAAAGAAGCCCTGTAAGAGCAAAATAGTTTCTCAATCTTTTCCCCAAAACTGCAAACAGAAACATCTTCTCCTTCATCTTGCTTTTTTTTTTTTTTACCTCCAAACCCTCCACTCAACACAAAGTCTTGCTCAATACTCACACTATATTCATTCACCTTAAATGCATTTCTTTCTCTTTGACTGGAGCCACAAACTGAGGGATTTTAAAGGCTCTCAGTAACCAGTCTCACCTGTCTTCACTAATTAACTCAACCCTCATCAATCAGCTCATTAGTGGGTTTTGTATACTACACAACAAGGTTTTGCTAAATGAATACCACAAATTATGAATTAAAAAATAACAAACATTGTTTTGGCCAGTATGAACAAAACTCTTGTCCTGAGAATACAGTTCAACCCTGGTGTTAATGTACTGTATGTCTTCATGGCAAACTGTTCAAATTGTTTTCTAGAGTTTATTGCTTCTCAGATGCAAGCAATAATCTCACATGTGCTTCCTCTTTCAGTAGAGATGTCAACAATGTCTCAGATTTGCCAAGATACCAAAGTCTGTCATCAAAGGTCAGAGATGTCAATATGAACTGAACTTCTATCAAAAATCTAATTTGTGTATTTTTCTTTCCTGCATGCTTTGAGGTGTGTGAGCAGGTTTGAGATTCATGAAAAACACTCAGACCAGTAAACTCAGCATCTGTCAGCTTAGCATGATCTGTAATTATTTCGTTTATGATGGTGACTTTGGGTGAAGGAGATCTGATCTTCTGATGTTTTTTCATGCTTGCAATGTTGACTAGTTTTATATTAATCTTTTTTTTTCTACATGACTGAGTAAGAGTTTTGCTTTTGGCAGACAAAGTCTCTGTTTGACAGATTTATGTGAAGCCAGTTTAATATTTCCAAACAAGATTTCAAAGATAGCACGATAGCACAATACAAATAACCTCCAGTCATGGTTCTGCAACAATGTCTGTGTACATATAATAATGTATTTGTGGGTGTATGTGAGTAGGCTCAGTTAAGGTATAAAAGAAAATGCAACTAATTTTCTGACAGCAGAGGAAGGTCAGGTCGTGTCCACATGGCTCGCTGGAGCACACTGTGATAGCCCGATGTGATTTCTCTGGATCTGAGGGATCATTTTGTGATCTTCACAAGGATTAAAGCAGGAAGGGAAGGAAATTCACAGGCTAAAGTTCCACCGAATCCACCATGGCCAGATATATTGCTCGTATCAGAAAATGCATCCCAGGAGTTCGGCATCCAGACAGCAACATCCCGTCTCAAGGTGTTACCGTGGATATGGGGGCGGTTGATTACGGGAAAGAGAAGGACAAGGGACAAATGTCATTCTATAATCCGATGGACCCCGTGCCAAAATATGAATTTTATGCCAAAGACACTTGGTCGGGACGTATAAAAAGCACCAGACCGTCACTGGATGCTCTGCGCAAACCAGTAAGTAAAACTCCATAAGTGGTCATCTCTATAAATGTACTAATTAAGTTCATAAGCACATACAAGTGAGTCTAATTGAATACTGCACACAAAGAGTATTGTTTATATGGCACCACTTTTGATTTTGATGTTGATTCTCTGTATATTCCTTTCAACAGCCAGACCCTGATGATCTTCCTCCACCACCAGAGGACGACGGACAGCCCAAAGTCAAGCTTGTTCGCTTTGGATGGGTTCTGGGAGTCATGGTGAGAAAGGAGCAATGATACATTATTATTTAGCATTATCCATATGCAATTTACTTGAGAATACTTCAAAATAAAAAGTGTATAAATGCAGTCAGATGTATACAGTTGATGGATTCTTTAATCAAAATCTTAGTTTTGTGTTTTCATTTCAGATCCGCTGTATGTTGAACATCTGGGGAGTCATTATGTACCTGCGGCTGCCGTGGATCACGTCTCAAGCTGGAATCAGTGAGTCAGTCTTCCATCTGGCTTATTTAATTCAGTTCATATCCTAAATTCAGTTAAAGTCACTTGTACATTCTCAAACGACTTTTAAACAGTCAATTTAGTCCTTCCTCAAGGAATTATTTTTAGGCCATATCTACAGACATTTTACATATGTGACCCTGGACCACAAAACCAGTCATAAGGGTCAATTTTTTTAAACTGAGATATGAGAAATCCATTTCCATTGATGTATGGTTTGTTAGGATAGGACAATATTTGGCCGAGATACAACTATTTGAGAATCTGGAATCTGAGGGTGCAAAAAAATCTAAATATTGAGAAAATCACCTTTAAAGTTGTCCAAATTAAGTTCTTAGCAATGCATATTACTTATCAAAAATTAAGTTTTGATATATTTACGGTAGGAAATTTAGAAAATATCTTCATGGAACATGATTTTTACTTAATATCCGAATGATTTGTGGCATAAAGGAAAAATTTATAATTTTGACCCATACAATGTTTTTTTGGCTATTGCTAAAAATATACCCCAGCGACTTAAGACTGCTTTTGTGCTCCAGGGTCACATATGTGCCACAGCAATTCCTTCAATTCTACATTTTTTGCTTGCAGTTCTGACCTGCGTCATTATCTTCATGTCTGTCACCATCACAACAATTACAGCAACGTCAGTATCTGCAATCTCCACCAATGGGAAGGTCTACTCTGGTGAGTGAAATTAATTGTTCACCACAAGAGCAGCCACACATTTTGTTGGATTTCATGTTGGTTTTAATCAGAATCATGTCTTGATTTCCATGAAAAAAAATATAAACATACTCAAAACAAGAAATGTTTACCTGAGAAGTAAAACTGTGGAAGAAATGCTTTGTTTTTATTTGTTTTAAACAAATGTAGTGTGCTGTATTTAAAAAAAAAAAATAAAAAAAAACTTTCCTCCAGGTGGCACATACTTCATGATCTCTCGGAGTCTGGGTCCGGAGCTCGGAGCGCCCATTGGTTTGCTCTTTGCGTTCGCCAACGCTCTCGCCTGTTCGCTCAACACAGTGGGGTTCGCCGAGACCGTCAGAGATGTTCTTAAAGTGAGACACACTCACAAATAAATGTAATTATTGTCAGGTTGTGGGAATTTCAGAGAGCTTCTTGTAAAATAGAAACTGATTCCATGCAAGCACTTTCCATATTGATGAGGGACACACTGTCCATACTTTCTATGAAGACACATGAAGATGTATTTTGGTGATATTCACTCTAATGGTTCTATTTGTCTCTTTTAGAAAGCACAGTTGTTAATATGGTTCTCTCTTTTCAGGACAATAGCGCTCAGATGGTGGACGATGTCAATGATGTGAGGATCATTGGGACGATTACTCTCATCCTCCTCCTCTGCATCACATTTGCTGGTATGGCTTGGGAGGCAAAGGTAAGGTCCTCTGCTTTGGTTTTTGCTCATTTCCCAGCACTGTCTCGTTTGACGGCATAGCTGCCATTGTTCTTCTTGGTTTTCACTCCACCACAGGCTCAGGTCCTGTTCTTCATCGCACTCTTGCTCTCCTTAGTTAATTATTTTGTGGGGACGGTCATTCCCCCCAGCATAGAGAAGCAGGCTGTGGGATTTTTCGGCTACCGCGGTGAGTACACGAGGTCCTGATCTAATGCGGCCTCAAATGCATCCAATAAACTCCTGTTTATAAGTTATGGAGTCAATATTTTGTCCTGCTACAACAAAACAAATTAATGTGTAAGATCAGTTCCTCCATAAAGAAAAAAAATAAACATACTTTGATAAATCATAATTATGACATAAGTGAATATGATGACATTAAGTCAGAATTATGAAATAAAAATGCATAATTATTAGATTAACATATTTATGTATTAATATGTCATGATTTAGACTGTTTCCTCATAATTATGACTTTTTTTTTTGTAAATTTTTACTTCTCATGATTGACTTTTTAATTGATTAGTATGTCACAATGTCTAATTTATCTAATAATTAATTTGATATGTCTTTGTTTTCACATTTCTTTCACATAATTATAACTTTTTATCTCATAATTATCATTTTGCCATCATTTTGACTTATGTTGACTTTTTGGTTACACTTTATTTCGATAGTCCACTTTAGACATTCTACTAACTATAAGTAACTTTGTAACTACATGTCAACTAATTCTCATTAATTTGCAACTACATGTCTACTGACTCTGAGTAGATTGTTAGGTTAGGTTTAGGGTTAGTAGAATAACTTGACATATACTTGCAAAGTTTCTCATAGTCAGTATGTTGTATGTTGTGGACCCATCAAAATAAAGTGTTAGAAGATATTAAGCAGAGAGTCTACTAATACTCTACTAACTGCTAGTTGACATGTAGTTGCAAAGTTACTTACTGTTAATAGAATGTCTAAAGTGGACTATCGAAATAAAGTGTTACCGACTTTTTAAATCTCAAGTATGCCTTAGTATGTGTATGTCATAAGTTCTACTTTATCTCATCATTTTGACTTTTTATTCAACATATAATTACCTCATAATGTTTACCTTGTATCTCTTAATTGACTTATTCATAATTTTGAATTTTATCCAAGTGTTAGAAGATATTAAGGAGACAGTCTATTAATACTCTACTAACTGCTAGTTGACATGTAGTTGCAAAGTTACTTACTGTTAATAGAATGTCTAAAGTGGACTATCGAA